ATCTATCTATCTATCTATCTACCATGCAGGACCTATATATATATATATATATAGTTATACATCTGACAGTCGCAGTTAATTTGAAAAAAATTACATTGCCACGCGCCGAATTTACACACGGTAAAAACAGTAGATACGTCTGACATATGCCACCATTAATTTCTGGCAAAAGCAATTTTCGTGAAACACGCAAAATGTGCAATTTACAGCGTGGTTTACGAGACATGTACAGCTGCCTGCTAACACGAGCTGCAATTTCTTTGGGTTGACACTGAAAAGTACTTAGTAGGCTTCAGCGTATGCATGCAGACACATGAATGCACACGGTAAGAGCCAACCGCAAGAGAAAGAAGTTTAGTTTTCTATAATCAGTTCAAATCTTGTTAAGGGTGATTCGAATGAGAGATAAAAAAAAGCGTGTGTACACCTACACCAACGATCATTTCAACGCAACTAGCACCGATTAGCTGATTTGGTTGGTTTATATCTGCAGTAATTGAAGCTCTGTGAGATGCACGCACGCACGCACGCACGCACGCACACATGCACGCACGCACGCACACATGCACGAATGCGGCACACGCGCACACACACGCATGCACGCACACACGCACGCGCGCACACACGAGCGCACGCACGCACGCACACACACGCGTCCACACGCCCACGCACGCGTATAAGCATAAACTCTTTGGGGGTTACGCATATTTTCTCAAATATACGAATTTCAATTATATAATTATCCTTACATAAAGCTTAGATAAAAAAACTCATTGATTTATTAAAAATGCGAAACTTGTTCACTGTATCGGTTGTTCAGATAAGAGTAACTGTAAAATAGGAGATGGTGGATCCGTACCCATTTCTTTGCGTGAATGCTACCACACTGCTTGGTGGTAGCAAACATTACATTACATCAGCGCACAATGAATGACAATTTCGGTGAATTCTTGTTCTATATTATAAGTTTCCATTGAAAATTTCGATGTTTTTTTAAAGGTGAATTAACTAGGATTTAGTGGTCATAACTTACCGGTTGCACTTCTTATTGCAGATGCCGGACATGTCCGAGCCTATATTATATAGTTTAGGGATATTCCGGAGGGTGCATTGCCGATCAATGTGAGATATATTGGGATGCGATGGAGGTTTTTCATAGCAAACGATGCCTATGTATCCATTTCACATGCACAACATAAACAGTATATAGCGTTATTATGAGATATTCTGTGGATATATTGTGTTACTTTGTTTGTCAACCATTACAAAGTCTTTAATATTTCTTACGCCTCTTCATTTTCGTAAAGATATACAAGGATTTAGTTGAAATTGCCACATTACATGTCGGTATTGCTATAAAATGAGTCCTTGGTGTGTGGAATACAAATACAATTTTTATACTGTGTATAGCTAGAGGACATCATTAATTTATAATAACCGAGTATTATAAATCATTACTGACTGAATGGCATCGCAAGCTACGCCTCCTTATCCATAGTATTATTTACTAAATTTTTAATGGTTTTATCAGACTATGAATACGTGTATCATACGAAAACATTTGGTGACTGGAGTACAGATATGTTGTTTATTTTCTATATGTATAAAAAATATGTTATGCCTGTTCCCTCGAAGACATAAATCTGGAGGAAGCGCTTGATCAACACGAGTTCACCTCATAGGTGCTGCCTGTGGTGACAGGAGCTCTAATGACAGACACAGCCTAAAGCAAGCGCGTGACCACTGACCAGTACGGCAAATTCTCGGAACGAGAAGATTAATCAAGTTAAACGAACGGATTAATTACTAGATAATTTGCACAGCTTACGTCTCGTGTCACCATCGTGTTGAGTCATATAATATGCTAGTGAGATTTTTCTAGTATCTCTTCCTTCCTCCCCCTCTCTCCCTCCCACAGTTTTACTTTCGCGTTTACACACTATGACACCACTCTCATTCCTCTCTCTAGCTGCGTCTCTATAGACAGTCATGCTCGTACTAATAGACAACGCCAATGACGGCTCTGCAGAATAAGTTTACGTCATGCGTCATAATTATGTATAGAAATGTCAGAAAAGAGCATTGTACCGGACAGAAGTATAGTATCATGAGCTTAAACTACATTGCAGTGCCTTACATCTTTCAGTTAGATGCATTGCCACGACTGGAGATAGTGCTACGCAGTAGTGATTACGGTTTTAGTGTTGCAAGCAGTAACATTGGCGTTGCACTCACAGAAAATACAACCACGAAAAAGGGAAAACAGCAGGTAAACATAACCATTATACAGGTATATTTTGTACATAACATGGATGACATTAGAAACCCTTTCGATTGGACTATATGTAAATAAACATATCTATTTTGAAGATAAAAAAACAATTCAATCAGCCGAGCTATTCGTGACTGACATCCTGATTTCTATCTTGATTAATATTTTGAAGTAACATTGGAAAAGTTTCTTTATATACTAGTAATGGAACCAACTCGGCACTTTTGGCACAGCACATGAGCTATATACTCAGTGTTCAGTTTTCAGTAAAACACTTCTCATGTATAAATCGATAAAAGTAAAACTATAAGCTTTGCAATTCATTACGTATCAACATGAGACTCGTAAGCTAGACAAGTACGTTACCAAATAGTAAAACTACATTTTGCTATTGGGCGATGCCCCGAATATAAAACTCCGTATATAGTGCTCACAAGCAATTAAAATTAACGAGTAACCACGATTATGGGATATGCGGCGTCATGGTAAAACCGAAACTCATCAAGCTTAGAAAAACGACCAAATAATTCGATCCACACGGCTCTTTGGACATCTAAAGTTACAGAGCTCTTTGAAGAAGTATCACGCGCGTGAAGGGTTTAAATTATTTGATACGAATTTGCCATGTAGTAAATTCCGTAAAATTGACACTACCTAGCAACATACCAAGTTATAGCCGATCTAGTAAATTATATACCTACTGCGCGTGAATAAAATATATATTGTCACACTGGGGAAATAAAGTCACGCACTAATACTGTTACATTATCAACTAAATAGGTTTAAAGGTGTTACTGACTTCTAACACACTGTGATGAACTAACATAGAATCTCTAAAAATATATATAGCCATATATATTGCCAATAGAATTACTGGCCTATTTCGGAAGATGCATACATGAGTTTGACTATCGAAACGTGAATAACACAGCAACAAATTAATAAAAAACAATGCTCAAGCTCGTTGCACGCACCAAAAATAAAAACAACAACAACTACGTTGTTGATTAGCCTAGAAGGTTAATGTCGACATATGATCATACGTTATTGTTTTGTAATAGAGTGGGCAGATGATAGTACACAGTTCACGAACTCACCGTTACTATTTACACGATCTATATACACGTTTCTAACACCAATATTCAGTGATTTCAGTATAATATGTAACAACTAAAACATCCGTTGATATATTAGAACTAAACCCGATGACAGATATGAGTGCCAGTGTGTATTAAAATCTATTATTACTGCATCATAACACATCTTGTCGGGTTGAAAACCTCACACACTGATCATTACTGAATATTTATATTTTGCATCACACATAATCACACACATCTCATTCGCCTATGTAAATCTTACACCAAGCTTTACGAAGTAAGTATTTACTTAACAATGGACTCGTACCCTAGTTTGATTATTTTATTGAAATTTTATACAAGCTAAACCCCGTTCCTGACTTGTGTCATACTACTCACTGTACTGTATAGCCAGAAGCTTTTTTAATGTTAAGAATATAGTAAGTACACCAATGTATTTGGGAATATGAATGTAGGAAGTTTCTAATGGACTGCAAAAGCAGAACCTAAAAAAATACGATCTTGCTTGTTTACACAGTGGATGTCCCATCCTAATAGCCGACCACTGACTCTTAAAAATTATAGTATGTGTGTTTTGCGTGTTTGCGTATTCGTGCATCAATGATGATTTCAATTAATCTTTATGCTCATCGACCAAACTGACAGTTACATTAATATCGCTCGAGTAGTGAATTGACTATTCTTACACGCGAAGCTGGCATGTCACCAAGTAGCATAACCAGAGACTTTATCACTGGTCACTCTTGGTTATCCAGTAAAACGCATGGAATCTCAGGGCAAGTTGCTTGACTTTAAAACGAATCAGATTTCAGTAGACACTACAGACCTTACTGTTCGCACCAGAGCCACTTGACCTCCTTGAACTAACAAAATTTCACATGGCCACACGTCCACCTGTCCACGTGTCCACTTCATAAAAACCTGCTGAGCGTTCGATATTGATCAGAACAACGAATGCTACGTGAAAACTCGCATGAGCACACCCACACGTAAGCTCACAAGTTGAATCCCAGCGTTTTCCCATCGCGGTGCAGACTCACACGTCTCTGCTGGAGTCGCCATCTTCGCATGATCACGATGAGACGTGCTGACGTTCCTTGCACCCTAAACTTTACTCCAGTTGCTTTCAATCTGGTAAGCCCTGGCAAGTCCTGGCAAGTCCCGCCATGGTGACCTAGGTCTCCGATGTGCGTTCAGAACTTCATATTACAAGGAGTTGCCTAGATTAACAGGCACACTCTCTTCCTTTTTTTGTAACGTCCAAACATTGGCACACATGCATGTACACACGTATGCGTGCGTGCGTGCGTGCGTGCGTGCGTGCGTGCGTGCGTGCGTGCATGTATGCGGGCAGACATACAGTGATACACGCACGAATGCGCATACGAACGCACTAACATCTGCAGCCAAACACGCACGCACACGCGCACATGTGCACAGGAAGGTAGAGGGGGAAAAATAAGGTTCTTGAGCGGCTAGCCATGGAGCCTCAGCAATGGTGTGTGCAAGGCTGTCTACTAACAGAAACGTGCATTGCAACCTGCTAATAACATATTCAGTTTCTGAATGGAAGGCAGTTTTTTTCTTGGCACTGCAGGCTGACCATTCACTGAGAGACTTCAGTCCAGATGCAGAGCCAACGTGTCGGCTCAGAGCCAATAGCGCTGACTCGTCTCAATCACGTGACCTTTGATCAGCTAATCCAGAGACATTAGTGTTTTCACACTGCTCATATAACGCTGTTACGGCATTTCTCTCGAGGGCAGCGACATTGACTCCCACCGCGCCCTCGTTAATATAATTACAACGCAAGCAGCCGACCGCTATTTTGACTTCCTCATCTCGGTGCGCGTCACAGAGATGTCCGTCAGGGCTTTAGTTTTCACAAAGTCTACCGTCTTGTACACGGTGCCAGCGTTCGACATGCTTTGACCAGGCAAGTCCGGCATCTTGGGCGGCGGCGACTTCACAGGCCGGCCGCCGCGCGCGGTCTTGCTCGAGCTAGCTCTGCTAGGCATATCCAGGTCCAAGTCGAGATACTCGATGGTTCCTTTAAGTCGCGGCGCGGGCGGAACGAGATCCTGATGCTGTGGGAAATAACAAGAAATCACATAAGGCGTGCATACGTGACCACTGGAGCGAGCACACGGAAGTGTCACCGAGTCACGCCACTATGCTTATATTGGCTTTATTGCATGATATAGGGATTGGCATATACCAGCACCGCTTATATATCTCAAATCTCCTTTGCTCTGGCATACAATTCAAATGTGTTCAGGTTTAAGCAAGCGTGTCGAAACCCTACACGTCTGCTGTTTGACATCCAAACTCGATCACGTGTGCAACTTCCTACAGTCCGTGACTATACTCCCCTTGCAGACTACCAAATTTAAAACCGCTACAGTTCCCCCTGGACTTATTGAATATCGTCACAGCAGATACTTGCCTGGTAGAGCTGGTCAGTGGGCTGTGGTTTGGTGGTCAGAAGCGCATGTGGCTTGCCTGTCATCAACACGTGTTCATCGTCGTCAAAGACGTTGCAGCTGCTGCCACCTGTGCTCGAGTCGGAGGTCGAGTCCCGCTGTGCGCGCTGAGGCAAGTATACGTCTGAGCGAGCCGTCCCATTGGCCGTGTTGCTGAAAATGCATATCAGGGAATAGGTTTACATTTGTACGTGCCATGTAAACGAATGAAATGTGAGCCTGTATTAATCAGCCCCATCGCAGTCTAGATTATTCCAAATTACTAAAAATCACTACTCTAGAATAGTCACCTCACAACCTTGAATCAGAAGTACAAATAACAGTAGCGTAATCACCAGGTTTGTAGGAATTACTCACGAAGAAACATGCAGCTTTTCATGTGAAATAGCTGCATGCATGGATGAATTTACTATATTCAGAGTACATGCATAAATAAAAGCAACCTTTATCTAAGAAATCAGGTTTTCAATCAAAATAGCTAAATCCGATCGGAATCAGACTGTACCTGAAAATAATGAAAGGAAAAGGGGACAGGGAGAAAGTTGAGTAACATAATTATTCATGGTATCGAAAAGCTCATCCATTGATTGTCAATCTTTGTTCGGCATGGTGAGAATAACAACTATATGGCCCAACTACTGCATTAAAGGCACCGCTTATGTCGGCTACGATTTGCCTCTATCGGCGACTTAACTTTATCGGTAACCGATTAGAGCAGCGTACGCACCAAGCTCAGTCGCTTGGTGAGTGACTACGCGTGTACATTCGCCGATCAGATCAGTTAGCGTTCCTGGCATGAAACGGTAGACGGGTTCGCATAGTGAAAGCATTAGACCCGTCGGCACCCAGTATTTGTACTAGCCAAGCAGCTTCTTTAGCAACAGAACAGAGCAAGTTTGACGCACACGCGGCACCCAGTCTACATAAACGAGTCACGTGTAACGTAAATCAACAAAATGGCGCTTCCAGGTAAACATCCATGTAACTTCGTAAATCGTTCCTCGAATTTTTGTCTGACTTTAAACATTCGTTATAAATCCATGCTGGCATGAATTTTTTCAGGTGCTTACGGAAACTTTAATATCATCACTTATGAGAAAGGGTTTGTGCAATTATCCCTCTTTGTAAACTCTGACATAGACGTGGCCGATGTAGGCTGGCCATTTTTACTTACAAGTCAGGTTGACTTTTGTTAATCCATGTGAACTCGACAAACGCTGCGGAACGGAAAAGGTGATTGTGCCTGCCACTCACGATTTCGTCGCCGAACAGCCGCCATTAGAAATAGAACATGTTTCTAATTTGCCTGCGATATGCTGCCGATCACAGTACGGCGCCGTATTTTCAGATCGTAATGAGCACTACATGTCGAGTCTTCAGGCTCCGCGCTGATGTTTTTATCGGCGATCTGAGCCAGGTTCTTTGACCGTAACGATATTGACAATCTTGTCGGCGACTAGGTCTATTATAAGGCCGACAACTTAAGCGGGCTCTAAAATGCGCTGTCAGTATTGACCATTTGATGGAACATTCAAAGTTGGTGCCACAATACCACGAATAAGCACCAATAAATTGATGCTCCTAAACATTTTTCATTTCTAGGTGTTATTTTAGGAATAACACCTAGAAATAACACCACGCAGATCTGATGTAAAAAAATCTTATAAAGGCACAATTTATTGGTGCTAAATACCACGCACTATAGGTTTTCACGGATAATTACTTGCAGTCAAAGTTGGTTGCGCTTGGAGTCAGCTTAATAAATTTATTCCCGAACGCAGAGAATTAGCGTATATTGGCAGAAAGCAGAGCGAAAATACCTGCAAATTGGCATCGCATTTTTTCGTAGCTCGCCTAATCAATATTTCGCGTTCATGCGTTTAATCAGGTCTATTGAAGACAAGCATGCCAGCGCGAACGCGGATACGTACCAGCTATCATACGCGCAAACGAACGACAAATTGTACGCACGCGCACGCGTCGTTACACGCCTATACGCATGCTCGTAAAATGCTGTGTCGTCCTAATGTGGTCAGGCTTATGCATTTTCGGCACCAGACAAACCCCGGCCCCTCCACTCACGAGGGCGAAGAGACCGCTATTGCGTGCTTTCCCAAAATCTCCGTAAAGGGTATTTTTCGCGGAGCACAAATCCGGCCCAAGCGAATTGTAAAAAAGGGGGTGTATTTGGATTTTTCACCCGCGAGCATTTCTTTAAAAAAAGGGCCGTCGTGTTTTTCCTCTCTCTTCTCTTTCATACATTGAATATCACTAGAAAAACTTTATGCAAATCCCGATAGGATCAGAATTCCTGCGAAATTCATCTAGCTTTTGGAACGCTCATTCAGGATTATTTCATCTTTGAAAAGTTAAAATATTGCCCCTTAGTTGTCCCTCGCATCACTAAACGCTTCACTACGTAGTGTAGCACTGGTTACCGAGGCGACAGTTCCAACGCTACACTAACGTTCTACGTCACGTGGGAGTGAAGGATAGTTGTACCGGAATGAAAGTGGTGCGAACGGGTACCAGTCTATACGTAGTGGTGAGTTCAGGTGCCATCTATCGACTCGATAGTACAGACTTCTCGAAATCTGTGATAGAGATAACAACAGACACGTGGACATGGAATACGGCCATCTGCTCAGCAAGATGGTGCTTGACAAGCGTGGTGTACCATCGTGGAAACTGGCCAAAATTGTTTTCATTTTTGGTATAGGTTTCTTATGACTGCATTGAGTTCTGAGATCCCATTTTGAACATAAAAAATCTCTCCTAAGGTATAGAGGGTTCCCACGAGCAGCAATATTGGAGGACAAACAATAAAAACCTGTGCATCAGACTATGAAAAGTCATTGTTTTCATGGTCTAGTGCACGGGTTTGCTATTGTTTTGTCCTCCATCATGACATCATCGGGGAAACCTCTATTGTATTGACAGCTTACCTGAGATGATGGAGGGTGTCTGTCCTGAGGTAGAGGGTTGGAATGAGAGCTCACGTACTGAGATCTGAGATAGGGGGTACATTGAGCAGTGTTCCGGATTTAGGGGGTCTCCAAGGCAGGAAATACCCGCAAAAAGCCCGCGAAAGGGGGGTTCAGAAATTTTGGCAGCCCTGAGATAAGGGGGTGCTTTCAAAAAGAGGGAACGAGCATATGCGTACCCTAAATAACACTGAGTGGAGGGGCCGGGCAACAAACACCCACCCCATGGAGATGCACTTACAAACACAAGTGCGCCCCTGCACACGCACGTGTAAAGTACAACTACGTACTCATGCACACATCTTCACAGCAGCATTTCTCGCTGGTATCCCCTGGAATAAATTTTTACTTCCTATGTCTTCATACTGAGGTCTTATTGACTTCACATTGAGCTAATTTTGGACATCGTTGGATAACATAGCATTGTTGGATGAGCTGATATGACACGACGGCTGAGACCCCTGCCACTGACTTCGTAACAGGTGCTATAGTCGAAGCATGTAGTTATTAGTGACTGTGCATATTTTACATTCAAACCTAGTCACATCTTGAAAAACTGAAGCCATAAACCACCCAAACCATGTCATCGATAGAAATAATACAAACACTGATGCTTAATCAGTCTAACAGCCGAAGCGCCAGTCAAATGGCACGACTGAAGCAGCTTGTTAACAAATTGAAGTTGAGAAACTGTACGTAACATTGATATAGTGCTTTTACGCCTAAAGCTTTAATCTTGTGAGTGATGACGACACATTATGTTAGTCTAGCAGACACCTAGTGCATTTCTGGTGAGAGCACACGAGAAACATCAGACCCTGTTTCACATTTTATATCTGTTGCATGTAATTGCAAGATGTCATATTCCATTAGTCCACTATAGTGGGCACATATTGGTGACAGTATCTTGGGACAGATAACATATATGCATGTGTGCACACACACATTAATAACATACAGATTATTTGAATAACTTACTATAGCTGCTTGGCTATTTAAAGGAGAGATATGAAGATGAAATAGGGCCACGGTAAATGTTAGGCTTAGCATAAGGGCAAAGGAAAGAAATAAGAAGTAAAAAGAGTGCTTCACAAGGAGGAAACATTTCCCGAGACTTAAGATAGTGTGCACATGATCTACTTTTGCAATATTGTCTTTAATTGAATATTGAACAGTTGTCATAAAGAGATGGAAGTCTTACCAGAAATGTGATCATGCTTAATGATATCGGAATATTATAAATGACAATTACATCCACAGTGGTAGCGTTTTATCATGAAAATATAGATGCTTTATGACAGGAGCTACTGGGCAATAAGAAAATAATAATTCGTCAAAACACCTTTTAATGTGTCACATCTAGAGGGGAAAACTAGGAGGTCAGTGTGAATTTAGGCAAAGTACGTCTGCAACGTACTAATGAGACGAGGCAGCACCAATTCCCATTGCTTAACGTGCCATTACGGCTTACATGGGTGCTGCTAGGAAACCTGCCCCTGTAATTGAATATCCAGGATGTTTCTCACATTCCCAGAAACGCCATGGGAAATTATACGGATAGCTCGAGTCATTTGAGAGGTATATTATGACACTAAAATGTTTCTACGAACATAACATAACAACAAGTTCAAAGTGAGAGGAATAATGGAACTAAACTGCTCGAGTCAGTTCAGAAACTATAGACCAGCAGAGAGCAAGTTTAAGAATCAATTTTAGTTGTTCAATTTCAGTTCAATAAGCCATATCGGAAAGTCCCCGCCGCCTAATGAGATCAGATAAGAGGGGTGATAAGTTGCCTATATATAACATGGTTACGATAGTACTAGTCTAGGTTTTTGATCTATAATTCTCTTCACTAACATCGTACTTCAATTCACAGGTGCGTTTCTGTTTACAGAAACATTTACAAATATGATTGTGGTCATTTGGGATATTTTGCAATGTTTCTGTTAATGCAAAAACTAAAAACGCACGAGTGTTTACATGTACTTTCCTAAGCGTGCCTCGGTCATTTTATACCCCCTTTTTCTATGACCTAAATAACACAGCTGGACTTATATCACTCCGATATCACTTATTTCAATTGTCAACGGGAACGCCTCCACATCGAGATTTAGCCAATGTAAAATCCTTAAATCAGTTCAATCAGTTCATCCAACCAATTCAGTTCAGTAACACATTTGGCTATTTGGCTAACAACAAAGTGCAATCAACGAAATTCAAGAAAATTCCTGGTGCCTATTTCTCAGGAATTTAACAAGGATCACCCATGCAACATTCATAACAATTTACCTCTGCCATTACGTTATAGAAAAATCATTAACATTTGTGCATATTTTTGAAGAAAAAAAAGAACAAACATGCAACCAATACAAGCTACTGGCATCTTTAATATCGTGAGTCAAATATCCTCGCAGCCCAGTGTACCTGCAAGTGATTGCCATATCTTCCCGGTACGGTCTGGTAATTCAGAGTAAAATGGTCATGGTATCAAACCTAAATTCATTGTATTGCATCCTGATATAGTAGGTGCACTTTCACAATAATTGCCTCACCTGTTTTTTGCTTTCGTGTACTTTTGGCTGCTTGGCCTTGGTGGGGGAGAGACACCTGCAACATATACAGCATGTGTTCTAGATGTGTAACACAATAACTTGGCCACTATCAACGCGTAAATACCTAACTTATATAATTGGATAACAATATCTATAGCATGTATAACTAGTTATTTGTCTATAAATAGCAATCCCTCAAGAGAGGAAATACCTATCGTCTGCAGCCTATAAACCAAGATACCCCCCCAACCCCCTCGTCAATTAACTCTTCAGTTGTTATTAAAAACTCTGGCAAGCTCTACAAGTCGACCCATCCACCGGGTAAGCACGCGACGATGAAGGCCTGCTTCCGCTCACCCTCGGATTTCTTGCGCTTCGGATTGAGCTCGCGGCGCACAGGTGGCGGCGCCGCGCCATTCCGGCCGCCATCTTGCTCGCACGTGCCCAGGTTCTGGTATGTCTGCTGTTCGTTACTGTACACGGCAGCGCGCACGTCCGACGAGGGCGGAGGCGGACCGTCCGACGGTTCGTCTCCCGCCGCATCCACGCTCAGCTTCTTCGGCTTTGCGGGTCGCGGCGGCGGCAGCGTCGTCGTCGCCGTGGCAACGATCTCGCGCGGCGTCGGCGGCGGCACGTCGTAGTGCGGCCGCGGCGTGTCGTAGCCCGGGTACACCGCCGCCGCCGGGTCCACCTTCTGCGTCGGCGGCACCGAGTCGAGATTCACGTACTGCAGCTGCGTCGTTGGCTTCTTCGGCGGCCGCGGTGGCGCCCCCGCGGCGACGGGCTGCGGTGGGGGCGGCACGCTGTAGGCGTCGTCGAGCGAGACGCGGCCGAGCGCGGGAACGACGTCGTCGAGGCTCGTCGCCGCGGCAACGATGACGCCGGCCGCGTGCGGCGACGGCACGTCGTAGAGGTCGAGCGGGTCGCGCGAACCTCCGCCGCCGCCGCTCGTCTGGGAGTTCACGGATGCGCGGTAGGCCTCCTGCTGGTGCCGCGGCACCTTGTACCAATCGTCGACGCTGCCACCGAGAGACGAACCGAGCGACTTGGGCGGCGGGATAACCTCATTCAGACTGTCGGCCGAGGATACCTTCGCTGCAAAAAGGAAACGAACGTTGTGATGCCGTGGAACGAGCAGACCATCGCAAGAAGGACAGGGAAATTTGGGAAGCAGCCGAGAATAAACGATAACCGGGAAGCAGGAGAATAAATGATAACCGGGAAGTGGCAGAGAATAAACGATAACCGGGAAGCAGCCGAGAATAAACGATAACCGGGAAGCAGCCGAGAGAATAAATGAGGAGCAAAATGT